CGTGCACTACAGCAGGCGCTCAAGGGCCATAGGTCTTCAGTTCTGGCAGTGGCCTTCTCACCTAACGGCCGGCTACTGGCGTCCGGCTTTGACGATAGGACCGTACGGCTCTGGGACCCGGCCTCGGGTGCACTACATCAGACACTCAAGGGCCATACGAATTGGGTTCTGGCAGTGGCTTTCTCACCTGACGGCCGGCTACTGGCGTCCGGCTCTAGCGATAAGACTATACGGCTCTGGGACCCGGCCTCGGGTGCACTACAGCAGACGGTCATGGGCCATAGGTCTCCGGTTCTGGCAGTGGCCTTCTCACCTGACGGCCGGCTACTGGCGTCCGGCTCTGACGATAACACCGTGCGGCTCTGGGACCCGGCCTCGGGTACACTTCAGCACACCTGTACTCTTGGTCAAGCAATCACTGAAATCCAATTTACTTCGGACGGGTCTTTTCTCAAGATCAACTCGGGCTTTTTTCAAATTGAACATGGTCGCGTCACCCCATCTATAAAACCTTCCATGACTCCGAAAATCTCAATCTACAATGATTGGGTGGAGCTCCAAGGAGAAAAGATCCTCTGGCTTCCAACCGAATATCGCCGTCAATACTCAGCAGACATGGACAACATCATTGCTCTTGGGAGTACATCAGGGAGTGTTTCATTTTTGGGATTTCGTGTTTAGCAAATATAAATAATTTTCGTTTCTTTTCCTTCTATTTTCTCATTTCTTTACGACAGAAGGGCCTGGGAGACGACCTAATCTTATACAACGTTTTCTTAATCGTGTATTGTTCTGTTATGTTTTACTAGGTTCCAGATGTAGCTAGTCTGTGACTGACTAGGGTGTTGCCAAATTTGACTAAGAAGCGACTTTGCCAAGCTAAAACAGTCTTCAGTGATTTACAGTAATTTGCAACCGCCCACTAGACATTGGGAATTGTCAGGATGAGGAATTGATGTACTGGCTAGTACTGAACATGTCCAATATAATCAGTTGATTGATTGTAGATGTTAAAGATCGGTTGAACGATCTCAGGGGTCTATACAAATAACCTTCGGCGTGTTACAATACCGTACTTCCGAATGTGCCCGGAATACCGTACAAATACTAACTACATAGGGGAAATTGGGTGAACGATGAATAAGCCTGTCCCAGAGGGCCCTAGTGGTATATGACCACTCTCTCAGTTCGTCAGGAATCAATCCGCGAAAAGACGCGATACGGTTGAGCACGGGTATATTTCAGAGTAACTTAATGCGGTTTAGGGTGGTTTCGGGTACAAGCCGAGAAACAACGTCTCTGTGTCCAAAGGGGAATCTGTTTTCGACTCTTACTGTACATAGTATAGGAGAAAAAGATATCTTCATCAGAAAAGGATTTTTGGTTGTGGAAAATCGGCTTCGCCAGGTCATTCGCCAATTCCCAGCATGCTTATCGTTTTTTGGAATCGGTGACGCCTCGCTGGGTGATGGGGAATATCGAATTTTGTTTCGGCTGCGGACAGAGTTTGATGAGTTCGATATCATTGGTCCCTTTCTGAAGATCCTTCTTTCGCTGTTGCCATCTACTGTTCTCAATGGAAGGTTAAGCTCCAATGATGAATGCGTGGGCGGATGGTTGTTTGCCGACCGAGCAAATGGCGAGTTGTTATGTGTTGAGACCCAGCCCGCCTCCATTTTTGATGATGAGGATGAGGAAAGTGATTTGAAACCGCGATTCATTGGATCTGTGCCCGTTTCTCGCAGCGCCGCTCCTGAGGGTTTGTCCCATCTCTACGACGGTCATGATCTATGGTCGGATGCATTGAGTAGTTGTCAGAGAGATATTGGGGCGTGTATGAAGTTGGACCATCACATTTATTGAGGTAGGAGCCTTATTCGGGATATGGGTCAAATATAGATCTGCCAATGTCCCGCTGATATGTGGGGTAAGTTTTTTTTTTTTTTTTTTTTCCCACAGTCTAGAGGCAAGAAGCGAAATAACATTGTAAGCCGAGAGTAAGAAGAGGGTCTAAACTGGGGTACCAAAATAAGATGGGGGAGCTCAAATCACGGCTGGATCTAGACTGGCGCTGTATCGCAGCATCCTACATAAGGCGTCGATTCAGCCGTCCTCGGACAACGGGGTTTCGAGGAGGGCATCCAGTGCGACCGGACACATACAGAATGATACAAGCTACCAATATCAAAAATCTAGATGTGCTAAGAAGACTACATCTTGCTGGCTCCAGGTCTCTACTTGATATATTGCTCCCGAAGTTCTCGAGAATAATGGGTTTTCTTCACCGGCTCCTGGACAGGAAAGGACAAAGCCTCACATACGTGGTATACTTGCTAGGTATACTCGCCATAGTCAGGCCACATATTCTCAGCTTCACTCATTGGTTACGGAAATATTATAGTAAGTTTTGATGCCCGTGGTCTCGCATTTAGCTAACCCAAAGAGCTTCCACTGTCTATATCCAGTCCTCAAACGAGACTTATGACATGCTGACATATTGGATCTCATCGCGTGGACTGGAAGACGCTGCTAGATCTTTTATTGCAAAGGTCAATAGTAATCGGAGAAGCCCAGAAAACACACCAAGGCTTGCGAAGAAAGCTATCGGATTTTCGCCTTACAACGGAGGTTTTTGCTTTTGGTACAAGAATAAACCACTTTTCTATCGGGTCAATGAGGACGGCGTTGGTTACAATAAAAGGGAGGAAGTATCCGTGACTTGTCTAGGAAGGTCTTCACACATATTGAAAGATCTTCTCCAGGACTGTCGTGATGAGTACCTCAATTCTACCAATCACAAAACGACAATATTCGGCCACCATGGCGCCCAATGGAAAAAAGACAGAACAAAAGCGATCCGGCCATTGTCAACGGTCATTCTGAGGGAGCATGAAAAGGCACCTTTGATTCAAGATATCCGAGATTTCCTCGAGCCAAAGACAAGGGAGTGGTATAATCGGCGCTCGCTTCCTTATAGGCGTGGCTACCTCCTCCACGGCCCTCCTGGGACAGGGAAATCTAGCTTTAGCCTCTCTATTGCCGGCGAGCTAGGCATGGATATTTATACCGTCAGTGTTCCTAGCGTGGACGATCAATCACTGAGTACCCTATTCAGAGATCTCCCGGAGAATTGCGTTGTCCTATTAGAGGACATCGATGCTGTTGGGTCTGTTTGTCCTCGAGATCGAGAGGAAGATGATCCCCTTGGTGAATCTCATCCCCGAGGAGAAAGGAAGGGAGTAACTCTTTCTGGACTTTTGAACGTACTCGATGGCATTGCCTCGCAAGAGAATAGAGTTCTAATCATGACCACAAACCACATCGAGAAATTAGATAAAGCCCTTATCCGACCGGGACGAGTTGACAGGAGGGTCGAGTTCCCGCTAGCTGATCGGGATACCATCAAGGAAATCTATCATTACATCTTTGGTCCTCTTATGTCAGCATCTTCCAGGAACCCGCCTGGCGTTGAGGGTGATCCTTTGGTTGAAATTCACGCAACTGATTTTGCGCAAAGACTTCCAGAGGAACGTCTTAGCCCGGCTCAGATAGTGTCCTACCTTTTGCAACACCGATATTCTCCCAAGGATGCGTTGGAGAATATTGAAGCCTGGATAAAAGCCATGTAGAAACAGAACAGAAAGGCGGACTCATCAAGTTTCGTCTTATCAAAGAAAAAGCATATGCGTGTACCATACTCGTCAAGTACTGATTCTGTCGGGTCTTTTGAAATTTAGTCTTAGGAGTCATAGGCGGGGAGTGGAAGGGAATCGTAAGTCTCGCAATCCATCCAAAATAGTAGCTCGTCGTAGATCGAAGGGCCGGAAAGTCCCCCAACGCAATTACGGACAGATTCGAATGACTGACAACCCCTGATTGTCAATTGGCCTTATCTATTTCCTAGTTTATTAATAGAACATGGGCCCAAGATATTATCATATCATTCTAACAGACTAATTGTACAATTTTAAACACATTCATAATTTTACACCGGCTTGGAAGGTGAGTCGAACGGCCAAGATCAATCATACAGTTTCACAAATATAATAAATAAAGTGCTTTTTTTTGGCTGCCTAAACAACATTTTATATAGAATGGTGGGTGATTTGATATTTTTCGATATAATCGAGGTACAGTAGCGAGTTTGGACTCATATTATATTCTAAGATGATAGTTCCAAAGTCTATGTAAGGTATTTAAAGCGGGGAAGTCGATGACACATTCAACAAATTGAGAGTACGAGGGATGAAATAGACAGCTTTGGATATGAATATTATGTTTGCCGTCTTGTTCATCGTACAGCGATTGTCGAAAACAGATTACCCCTCAGACACTCACACTTTGTTTCTCAACCCATACCCGAGCTAGGCCATATACAGCTAGCTCGTAGATGGAACTGTTCTATATAAGTGGACATTATCCTATCACTTGACTCAATAAGGCTTTAGCGTGTTTCGGGTACGAGCCAACAAACAAAGTCTGAGTGTCTGAGGGGTAATCTGTTTTCAAAAATCGCTGTACTAAATACAACGTTATATGATGTCCTCGTATCCCGCTAGTCTCCGTCGATATTTACCTTGCATTCGGCGTCACCTCCTATGCTATGTGTTGCGTCACCTCCTATGCTATGTATTTCATTGACCCCGAGCCCTGATGCCAACATGCGCGAGAATGTTTGTGGTGTCGTCCTATACTACCCCCGAGCTCGGGGCCTTTTATCACGGAATACAAAATTTTTATTTAACGTGAATCTCCTGTCACGCCAAGATATTCACAATCTCGATGCCCCGCAATCTGCGTTCCCACGACACGTGTTGTTCTCGAGAATCGCACATCTTACATATGCTCTCCAACCTATTATCAAGGGCGCAAGACTATGAAAGTTTCCTCCATTCACCTTCATTCGCGCAAGTGTGCTAGTGGGCCGATTTTTGCATCTAATTTGATGTAGCACTTGTTGGCATATATGGCTTGAGGCCGGAGCTCAGTGGCGCATCTGATTCTATGAAATATAAACCATCCGCTGGCATATCAAACTTTGGGTTCTGGACTCATTGACAGTAACCCTTGACCACGTGCTGAAATTGCATGAGATAGTAGCCTCGCTGGGTAACCATGTGTTTTTAGATGATGCTGCGGTGTAGTTGGCCGCATCGTTTATAAGTATCCTCTTGTAAACTCGCATCTAGCTTAGCAAGCTCTAGAAAATGTTGAAAGCTGATTAGCCTCCGCCCACATTTGTACATTTTCATGCCCGAATGTATCCGATACCGTGACGCACTGACTAGCCGTCAGAACCCAGTGATCTGTTCATAGCCACAGCGGGTCCCTTCTACTGCGGATGAAAGGGCATTTTGAATGGTCCAATTCGATAATTAGCGATATTGAATCCAGTCCCTGTAAGTTTGCAAACATCCTTCCATATTCCGATGCTCCCTGTGCGCACCTGTTGTCGCTACCACGTATGTTGGTATTCTGGCAGGCTCCATATTGCTACCGGATACACCGAGAGCGCTGGTTATGTGCCGTGCTTTATGTACATGGAACCCATCTCCCGCGCCGTCACCTCAGTCGCCCTGACGCAGCGGCTGGAGGTTGCTCACGGTGACTTTTACTACAAAGGATTTGAACAAACAGAAAATGTGACGTGATCACGCACCTCCATATGATTCAATATCTGATCCTGGGCCAAGTCATAAATATATTCGTGTGGTTCGTACTTGGGTTCCGGGAAGTTTCCATGAGGGCAAAGTGGAGAACCTGCTCGCGATGAATCCTTCGAATGAGACACAGCACCGTAATTGAAACCGCGGCTTTTTCTATTATCAGGCGTCGTTCTGACGAAAAAGAGTGTTGGAAGCTTTGTTCGAGGTTTTTTATGAACAAATGTTGCGAAGAGGGCATTTTGAGAACCTTGCCCGTCGCCAAGGCGTTCCGATAGATGTCGAGTCCTTCAGTGCCGAAATGACGAACTTACCCTCAATCCATTGCTTATGGTGGTGGGCCTCCTGGTTCGCATTTGGAGGCTCCCAAATTGGGATTTTCATTCCAGTTGGTGCGGCTGACCCTTAGGCCCGAAGAATAATATGTTGGAAATCTACGCCGGAATTTTACGGTCGATATACCCTTCCTTCGATGAAAGTAACGAGCCGACGTCGTTGTGCGGCCAAAAGAAAGCCTCGGGATCTCGATCCGGCGCTGCTAGCAAGATTGGATGATACCGTGGTAGATCTACTTATCGATGAGATAAAGCTGCGACAAGTCAATTTTCCGGCAACCACTCGCAAGAGTTCCGCAGACTATTTTCCGCTTCGAGATATCAATAAGATAGATGTATCTAAGATCCTCGGTGAAACAAGGCGATTCAACATTCAGAGAACTCAGAACCGCATTTTGCAATTGCCTTGCTTGAAGGGGTATGTTTCATCTAACGGGACAGCTGATTTGCAATCACAATGGTTCAGCACACAGCTTACTACCTACCTTCATATCTATGATCCCAAATGTCCTTTTAGAATTGCCGAGTCCGCGCATCTCTCCGACATAGACCGGGAGGCTGCCGTCTTTGCAAATTGCACTTTCAAAACGGGGGAAACCATCCAATTCCTCAGTGGGGTCTGTGTGCCCTTGACCAAGAAAGATGAGTTGCAACTCGAAAAGGCAGGCAAAGACTTTAGCATTCTTCGGTCATCTCGGTCATCTCGCAGTGCAGCTCTTGCGATGTTTCTGGGTCCTGCTCGATTTGTCAACCACGATTGCAACGCAAATTGCGAAATTGTGTGGGCTGAGGAGTCTAAAGCAACTATCGTGGCAATAAAAGACATCCACCCAAATGATGAGATTACAGTTTTCTATGGAGCAGACTATTTTGGAGAGAATAATCAGGAATGTTTATGTTGGTCTTGCTCCGCACATGACGCAGATCTTGAAGCAAGTGTACTGAGCTTTTGATGGCAAAATTCTCTCATCGCTGATATAAGCCATCGTTGGAATCTGTTGCCTAATTTGGATGACAATTGCTCTTCGGGTGAATATCATTTGGTCATGAGCGAGAAAAGAAGAGCGGCATGTTGAATAGTAGGCAGCGTCGCCCGACTTGTCAGTTACTATTTCATTATACATAAGAAGTGGGCATTGATGCTTCGAATAGTTTGTGCTTCGAACTATAGAGCATGTGAAAGAGGCCAACTTGACCTCACTGCGCGCAATCCCATACATAGAATGAGTCTTCGGCGTATCTTCGAAGTGCACCAATGATAATAAATCAAATGTCGCATGTATAGTGAATTGCTCGGTTTGTCTTCAACATTCAGGTGCGGCTGTGTAGAATCGGGCCACCAAAATGCAGAGAAATCTAACTATAGCACAGTTGGCGTGTACACACGAAAAGTCCCCCTTCCTTGATATGCGAGCCGGCTTCATAGGCCAAAAATTATGTGGGCTCGATTTATAGAACCAGCCGTCATTCCATAATATTATAGTATCAGCCTTGTTTCTTACGCCTGGCGCAATACGAAAATAAGTTTGATCCCACTCAGCGGAGCTACAGACACACTCGAAATCAGTTTCATCATTTTGTTCTCTTCGATTCTTTATTAATCTCTATTTTTAAATACGCTAGACCATGATAAGTTAGTTTCTACACGTACACGTATAGCTCATAACGTATACTGTATGACTACACTGTATGAATAATATTTGTAATACCTTTACGAGGTCGGTGCACCATATCGCTCCTAGGAATGGCCGTATGCACGCGCCATCATGGGCTGATACTATGAACACCGTTCTCCATATTACACATGGGGGCTGCAGCCTATACAAATCTGGTCAACTCCTCTTTACTTTCCTTCATTTACCTTTAGGCCAGCATTTTGACGCGCTGTATCTTTCGAGGAGCCGGAGCCAGGACGAATATCTTCGCGACCCTGATTTTCGAAGGTACGACAGACTCTTTCCCGCCTTATTTGGCCTAAGTCTAAATTTTGGCCGCTATAATCACCTACCTTCTAAGATGACGCCGGCAATGAAGAGACCGCTCGATTGTGACACCGAGGTCAACCCATCGAAAAGACAAAAGACATACACAAAGTGGTCCCATGTATTCGGAAGCTTCCCAAAGAGTTGCTTGACCATGTTTCTTGCCACAGTTCAGTGATTTCTCACGGAAACTTCCTGTCAGCTTTTGGGCAAGAGCCCTTGGGATCTGATAGGAGCCGGGTCTTACTTTGGACTTCAATTTTCAAAAATGACACATGGGTCCAAAGTATGGTGGAAGAGCACAATGTACAGCCAGTGCTTGTTGGGTCGCAACTTCACGAGCTTTCCGGGAAGACTTACATCATTCTTTATCTCTACGATGCTATCCGGTTACCGGCGGAATCCTGGACGTTGTTCAGAGAATGTCTTCGCAACCACACCGTCCTGCCGAATGCCGACATCGTCCTTACCTCTGGAATCACATTGAACGTACAAAGTGTACAGTAGAATTCGAAAACAGTTTTAACTCCACACTCTTGCGACTTGATTCGCTAACCCTAATCTGAAACGCGCTAGTCCGTATCTGGAATAGTCATCGATCCATAATTTCCAAGAATAGACATTGTATTTTACATGACGGGAGTGGGACTCTGCCTTGTGTATATTACTCGTAAATTCCATACAAGGGTGATTCTCTACCATACCCCCCACTCCAAGCAAGAGGAATCTCCATCGGTCTATCTTTTCTTGAATCTCATGATTGACCTCACAAAATGGCTCCGAGACTCCCACCATCCAAGCTAAACCTCATCCGCGACATGATAGAAAGCCAGTCACTTGGCACATCTAAAATGGCCGAAGAAGCCGAATGCAGCTAGGCTACGATTATAAATATTCGCGCAAACTTGCGCCAATTTGGAAGTGTGCACGCACCCCCAACGCGAATAGGACGGAAACGGAATGTAACACCACTGATGATCGAAGCCCTCTGCGAACACCTATCTGAAAAGCCCAGTTTATACCTTAATGAGATGGCTGTCTTCCTCTGGGATGAATTCCGCACCCTAGTCACAACCTCCAGCATCAGACGAGCGCTTGTTGCTAAAGGTTAGTCTAAAAAGAGCACCCGGCAGCAAGCGAGGGAGCGAAATGCCGACTTGCGAGAATGGTATCTGCATAATTGATCGGATTTTCAATCGTATCAAGTGGTTTACGTAGATGAATCCGGATGTGATAAAAGGGTTGGGTTCAGGCGCACAGGCTGGTCACCGATTGGCGTGTCCCCTATGCAAGTATCTCAATTTCACCGCGACCAGCGATATCAGATACTGCCTGCGTATGCCCAGGATGGAATCGTTTTCTCACGTGTCTTCCGCGGGTCCACAGATGCCACCGTGTTCGAGGACTTCATAGCGCAGCTTCTTCAGCACTGCGGAAGATGGCCCGAACCTAAATCCGTTCTGGTGATGGACAACGCAGCGTTCCATCATTCAGAGCGGATGACCCAGATGTGTGTGGACGCAGGGGTAAACTTGGTCTATCTGCCACCCTACTCGCCGGACTTGAATCCGATTGAAGAGTTTTTTCGCTGAGCTCAAGGCCTTTATCAAGCGCAACTGGAGTCACTATGAAGTAGACCCTGATCAAGGTTTTGATGCATTTCTTGGATGGTGTATTGATGTGGTCGGTGCAAAAAAAGTGAGTGCTAGAGGTCATTTTCGGCACGCAGGCTTGAAAATCGAAGAATTCTCAGAAAATTGCTAGGTATGCCCGAAACTGGTGCCACCACCTACACTCTTCGATTATTATCCAGCCCCACTGCCAAAGCAAACCAGTCTATATTGGGAACTTATCCGTAGTACCCTGTTAGGCATGTATTGCTTTTTACGAGATTATACGGCACTTTATGTGCTGCTGAAATTTATTTCATCTGATGTCTCTTACCCTCAAGCCCTCCAAAGGACGCCATATCTTCACAATTGATCACGAGAAATCGAAACGAGATGGCGCAAAGCTACCTTACTGAATGAGCTTAACCACGACATGATCCAGAGTGGGGGTTTATCTATGGCACAGGGAGCTGGCTATAACACCTACCGGGAGCCTCTTTCAGTATACAGTATCGAAGCACATCGTAGAGAACGCATATATCAAATAACTCACGAAGATTAATGGGTATTGGGATGGCTCTTCCGCTAGCGTAGAAATGTCTTGATTTAGTTCAGCATCAACGATGCAGTGATATTGATTACTCAGCATAACAAAACGAGGGGTGGAAGAAGTGAGGGGTAAAATGATTGAGCTTCTGTGAGTGAAGTACAGGGGTTCAGTCACCTAAACGCTCGATAAACCAGCTAGGCAGATGATTTATCGAGCTTAAAGATATAGATCGTATAATAAGAAGTATTTCAACAGGTGAAGTCTTGTCACCCAACTTCCCTGTGGACGAATATATACCGTAACAACTTTGCAATATGGCCCTCGTGGAGTTCTCTAAGCCAATAGCGCCGTAGGTACGCCTTAAGGGGTTCTATTTTGGGCTACCAGTCAGGTCGTGACACATAAAGCCAGCTCATCGAACATTCACAAGCCAAATGCAGCCAAATGCCGTCAGCGGCCCTTGAGATAACTATACATATGCCCCGAATCTTGTTTATATGATATCAGAACTGTTGCCATACTCTTAGAAGTTTTTTTCTCTCACAGTGCATACGATTTGACGGTTTAAGACAAGCAATTAACGAAGTGATTCGCCTATGGCTACCCCAGTTAGCAAAAGCGACAAGTTCTATGCGGTTTACAAAGGTCGTGTTGACAAGCCTACCATATATTCATCTTGGTAGGATTGGATCCAACTTGGCAAGTGACGTTTGATGCGCTGACATGCTACTTGCCTAGGAGTCAAGCGCACCCAAGAGTCATAGAATGCGAAGGCGCCGAGCATGAGAAGTGGGACACACTGGAAGAGGCTTGCAAGGCGGTGAAAGATAGAGGCTTCGAGGACGTTGATATATTTGTCAAAACATTACCTGAAACCAAAGTCACGCCGTTGCGAAAAGACAAATACTATGCCGTTGCAGGTGGCAAGACCACTAGAGTGTTCACTGCTTGGGAGTAAGGCTTCTTATTTTGATAGTCCAACATAGATAACTCACATAACATAGGGATGCGAAAGAAGCGATCAATGGAACTACCGCGTGCCAACAATGCTTCAGCACTAAGCAAGAAGCAGAAGAGTTCATTGAGAGTTGGAAAAACGCCTACGCCGATGTATGGCGAAGGGCAATTCGACAAGGATTGAACGAGGGATGGAAGGCAAGGGACATGAGTTTGAACATTGGATTATTCTTGCTTAGGGAGAATGACAACGAGAGGTTAAAGGAAGATGAACACGAGATGGTCAAAACGGCTCAAAATGAACTTCCGAAGATTGAGCAATTATCTGTCAAAGAAGAGAACCAGGAATAGAGCGTTCAATCTAGGGTTACATTTGTGGTGGGGCTCAACGAGCGAAGGCAAACACGACCGAAGATGAGCTCTACATGGCGCCGGGACTTTGGAGCTTCTTCTACAACGAATTTTACCATGAATGGCATGCAATTCTACCTATTTTGCTGAACCCGCAGTTACACAGTGCCACCTCACATTGCTGCTGAATACCATTAACTACTCAGTACTCTGATAGCCATCCCCGCACTATTAGTGAAAGTCAGCCCCACCTATGGTGGAAGTCCGTCAATAAACGCTGTAGTAATGGTTCGTGGAAATGATGTTGAACGATTAAGCTACATTTTCTCCTGGCCTCAATTACAGTATTAGCCTAAAAACAACAATCGCAGCTACACAAACCAACGATCGTGAAACCAAGAATATGTCAATTGCACCTGCGGTTAATAGCACTATGTTAAAATAAACCTCCTAAACACCATGTACGCCAACGACAAATTGGGTAGTTGCTACATTTCTCATAAATAGGGATTGCTTTCTTCACGTTCTCGACCCAGCGCCGTATGTCTTCTACGAACCGTCGAGCAATACCTATCTTTATGCCCTTTCCGATAAAGAATTCCGGGTCTTGATCCTTGTAGACCTGCTCAAGATCAAGACCATTGTCGATCATCAAGTGACAGATCTCTCGGAATGCAGCCTTGAGAGTGTCATTAGTGACATTTGACACTTGCCATTCACCATACTCCTTGACTGCTTCATCCCTAGGTCCAGGGATCTCAAGCGGGCCTAGAGATTGCATGGACTGGAAGTCAGCAGAAACCTGTGCAGCCGCAGAGGTAGAAGACTGCGAGGGCAGGACATTGATGTTGATAGCAGGATATGGTGCTCCATTTCCTGTCACATGTCCTCCTTTGCGATTGTTCTTTCCCTGTCTTTGTTGCTCTTCCATATATAATTCTTCGCATACTGTTTCTGGCACATCCTTGTGCCCGTCTAACACCCCACCTTTTTCGACGTGGGTAACGAGCCGCTTGAGATGATGAGTCTTCAGTTGGTAATGCTTTTTCCCCATTGGATCCACCCAACAATATGGGCCTAATGGGCAAGTCGAGGATCCGCACCGCATCACATTATAGACGCTGCGCCAGACAGGTCTTTCTCCAGAAGCATCCTGCTCAGCATCAATCTGAGCGGCTCTCTCATCGAGCATTTACTTTGTGACAGAGGCTTTTCCTCTTTTCTCCCCATTCCGACCAGCGGCTGGAGGAGAGTGACGATCATCTACGTAATTGAAACTGATCTTCAGCGTGAGCTCTTTACCCCGGGAGAATAGGCCTGCCCACATTCGGAGCTGGTTCTCGATGGCGGTCCAAGTGATGTCGGTATCATCAAATCGTTTAGTCAAATTGCGCTGGGTTCGGTCGTTCACTGAAACGACAATCGCAGTGTCATCAGGTTTGACCTGACGATGACGGGCAATTTTTCGTCGAAGAACTTTCTCTAATTTCTTCTCCAAGCACAGCTGCCAGAAGGCACTAGGAGCCAAAACAAGATCTTCCTTCGTGTCCTTTGACACCTCTCGATTGTTGACTGTAACACGCCACTCTATACGGTAGTGTATACAGGTCGGCGGGTCCTTCTTGTATACTCTTCTTTCTTCCCATTCAGACAACTTTAGCAGCCTAAGAATATCTGATCGTGGGTGATCTTCTAGCACAGCAGAGGGGGAGGGACTGTAGTTGAGCTGTGTTGCATTAGGACTACCGGAATATCCAGGTGTTAGAGCGTACTGTGAGTTGTTTTCCCACGTTGCAGTATCTTCGGGTTGGGTGATGAAATTGTCATGATATGGGCTTTGCGTCATTTCTATAGTACGATGGCAGACCTGGGAGGGTCCATGTTAGCTTTCCTAAGTACCTGATTTTCTTAAGACTTGGTATCGAATGAAAATCGCAGTGAGTAGCACAAGTCAGAGCTAGAGAAACAAGTTGCGTACCGTAATAAGTTCTTTATGGCGTCACTGCAGCCTTCTTTTAGAGGAAAAGAGTGTGGGCGAAGGCTGCGTGTGACAAAACGCCCAAGGGATGAGAGAATGACAGAATTTCTTCCCAGATTGTTGGGATTCTCTTGTTGTTTGATCTGTTTGCGCAATAGGTTCCATCGGTTTCTACCAGAAATTACGGTACTATAACAATGACTCATTGTGGTTCTACAAGGATTATCAGGGGAAGAGCTAAAATTAGATTAGTGTGTCCCCACTCAGGGTCCGGGAATTAAGTTGCAAGAGATTAGAGTTAAAACTGATTTCGAATCCCACTGTACTCAGTGCAACGCTAGCTGCCACTCCGGTGGAAGGCTCCGTAGAGCGGAAACCCGATCGGCTGATGCACGCGGTGTCGGAAGCGGTTCGTGCGTTGACGCCGAAGGCCAAACCGTCACCGCACGCAAAGCGATGGTGGACGGCGGACCTGACGCAACTGCGTCAAATCTACACACATTGAAGAAACCACGCCCGCGCAGAGCGACGGGCAGGGCGCAAGGTGCCAGAGCTGGAGGGCATGGCCGCAAGCGCGGCGAAGCAATACCACGACGCGATTCGGAAACAAAAGAAGAAACACTGGAATGAGTTTTTGGCCGACAACGACAACATCTGGAAAGCGGCCAAGTATCTGAATGCAGGTGAAGACGCAGCCTTTGGGAAGGTTCCACAGCTCGTCAAAGCAGATGGAACGGTTACCACCGATCACGAGGAGCAGGCGGAAGAACTACTGACCAAATTCTTCCCGCCACTGCCGGACAGCATTGACGATGAAGGGACTAGACCACAAAGAGCGCCGATACAGATGCCAGCCATCACCATGGAAGAGGTAGAGCGACAGTTGTTCGCAACGAAGTCATGGAAGGCACCAGGTGAGGATGGCCTGCCGGCCATAGTGTGGAAAATGACCTGGCCTACGGTCAAACATCGTGTTCTCGACCTTTTTCACGCGTCACTGGGGGAAGGCACGCTCCCAAAACAGTGGAGACACGCGAAGATCATCCCACTGAGAAAACCAAACAAGGAAGACTACACCATCGCCAAGGCGTGGAGACCGATCTCACTCCTTGCGACGCTAGGCAAGATCCTGGAGTCAGTGGTGGCAGAAAGGATCTCGCATGCAGTGGAGACCCACGGCCTGCTCCCGACCAGTCACTTCGGGGCCCGAAAACAGCGGTCCGCGGAGCAGGCACTCCTGCTCTTGCAAGAGCAAATCTACGCGGCGTGGCGCGGCCGACGGGTGCTGAGCCTGATCAGCTTCGACGTGAAAGGGGCATACAATGGAGTCTGCAAAGAACGCCTGCTCCAAAGGATGAGGGCAAGAGGCATACCGGAGGCCCTGCTCCGCTGGGTTGAGGCGTTCTGCTCTGGACGGACGGCGACCATCCAGATCAATGGGCAATCGTCGGAAGTTCAGGACCTGCCACAAGCTGGACTACCTCAGGGTTTGCCCCTGTCTCCAATCCTGTTTCTTTTCTTCAACGCCGACCTCGTGCAGAGACAGATCGATAGCCAGGGGGGAGCGATTGCGTTCGTGGATGACTTTACCGCGTGGGTGACAGGACCAACGGTACAGAGTAATCGGGACGGTATCACGACCATCGTCAGTGAAGCGCTCAACTGGGAGAAGAGGAGCGGAGCAACCTTTGAAGCAGACAAAACGGCGATTATACACTTCGTACCCAAGGCTCGCAAAGTGGACCAAGAGCCGTTCACTATCAAGGGACAGACGGTCGCGCCTAAGGACAAGGTCAAAATCCTAGGGGTGCTGATGGACACGAGACTGAAGTACAAGGAGCATATTGCAAGGGCAGCGTCCAAAGGTCTGGAGGCAGCGATGGAGCTTCGACGACTCCGAGGTCTCTCTCCAGCAACAGCGCGGCAGCTGTTCTCGTCGAAGGTAGCTCCAGTGGTGGATTATGCCTCGAATGTCTGGATGCACGCCTTGAAGAACCAAAACATGGGTCCGATCAACCGGGTGCAAAGGGTAGGAGCGCAAGCAATTGTGGGCACCTTCCTCACCGTTGCGACCAGCGTAGCGGAGGCCGAGGCCTATATCGCCACGGCACGACACCGATTCTGGAGACGAGCCGTGAAGATGTGGACAGACCTCCATACACTGCCAGAAACCAATCCTCTGCGCAGAAGCACAGATCGGATCAGGAAATTCAGGAGATACCACCGCTCACCACTATATCAAGTAGCAGACGCGCTGAAAAACATCGACATGGAATCGCTGGAGACCATCAACCCGTTCACACTGGCACCATGGGAGGCACGAGTGCAGATAGATGACGAGCTCGTTCCAGAAGGGTCAACTGTACCAGGTGGATCAATGCAGATCGCGTTCAGCAGCTCGGCGCGGAATGAACTGGTCGGGTTTGGAGTGGCGATCGAGAAACAACCACCACGCCAGCGGAAAGTGAGACTGAAGACCTTGTCTGTCACGCTGAGCGCGAGGACAGAACACAACCCGTTTTCCGCAGAGCTAGCGGCTATAGTGCATACACTGAAGACACTCGCGGCAGTGAAAGACTTTCGGATCACCCTGAACACGAGCAACAAAGCGGCGGCTCTGACGTTGACGAACCCGCGACAACAGTCGGGCCAGGGATTTGTCTGTCAAATCTACAAATTGACGAGCAGAATGCAGAGACATGGAAATCAGATCAACGTCCGGTGGATCCCCACTAGCGAAAACAACAAACTACTAGGGCTGGCGAAAGAGCAGGCGAGAGCCGCGACGCAAGAAGATGCTATCCCGCAAGTACAGGCCCCCAAAATGAAATCGACGACTCTGAAGATTGCGCGTGCCCAAGCAGCCCCCAAAAGCGAGTTGCCCGAGAATGTAGGGAGACACTCCCGACGAGTGGACACAGCACTCCCAGGGAAACACACGCGACAGCTGTATGACCGATTGTTGTGTAAAGAGGCGAGCGTGTTGGCCCAGCTTCGCACCGGCATGGCAAGACTCAATGGATATCTCTTTCGGATCAATGTCGCCGAGACAGATCAATGTGCATGTGGACAAGCAAGAGAGACAGTAGACCACTTTCTGTTTCGATGTCGGAAGTGGACCGCGCACCGGACGGATATGTTACAATGCACCGATACACACCGAGGGAACCTGTCCTTCTTCCTGGGAGGGAAGTCACCCTCCGATGATCAAGAGTGGAAGCCGAATGTGGAAGCAGTGCGAGCGTCAATACGATTCGCCATCGCTACGGGCCGACTGGAGGCCACCTAGACCTGCCGACGAGCTGATAGAACACCTCACCTTACTAACCCCAACACCTTGTGATCGACGGTAGACGCGCTTCAACTGCCGAAGATAGGATGTTGAACACTTGAAGAAGCGCCTTCAAGCCAATCTACTAACCAATACTAACCACAGGGACCGTCTATGAGATTGAAATCTGAAACGGGAAATACGGAAGGGATTGCTGTATGGGCTCCAAGGAGACACGGCGTATACCCAAACGTGCATGTACTGGTAGTTTAGTGATAGTTGCCCTCTCGGCTCAGCCGCCGGGCGTTAATGAATTGTGTGTGTGTGTGTGTGTGTGTAGATTCAGGTGCAATTGACAGATGCAGTAAAAGCTAAGCTCATAAGCTGACTTTGTGCTTTCTACCTGATCTAACCTATTTTCTACAAGCCCACTTTTGAATACAGCGTAGTTTCGAGGTACGATTACAGATTTGCTCTGGTCTAAAGACAAGTATATTGCTTTCGTCTATCATAACTATGCAAGCTAATCTTGGATCTTTAATAGACTAGTGATATTAAAGCACACCCACATTAGTGTATTGATGTTTCAAAGGGGTATACATTTCGGCGTAGGCGATTTGCATTTGATTCTGTTCATCTTCTTTATTCCCTTTTTGTAGCTTTTGTTATTCGTCTGTTATACAGAATGTACATAATAATGAAGGCAAGATTCCCCAGTAAGCTTGATCAATGATCGTCGGAAACATCCACTGTTATCTATAGAGAGACGTATCCGAGCTTTGCAGGCGCAATCTTATGACATAATTTCACATAACATCGAGTCACGGTAATTTTATCTCAAGTCGACGCAAATAATATGGCGGGGATAAATCCAGGAAATGGTGTACTAAATACAATTTGGACGGTTTCAACGCTATTTATACAAATACCTTGGAATATAGTACTTGCAAGCTGTCTTTTGTGTGGATTGTTGATTCTAGTAAAAAAGAAAACAAAGGCAGGTTTTGGGCAGGGTCGATGTCAACTGACTCGATTCCAGTTCCCCCTAGAGACACATGAAAGACAGCACGGTGCAATGCATCTGGCCGAATCCAGTTTAGCGTGAAAGAGTGAGGCACGCTGGGGAAGAAAGCGTGTGTCTACTCTGCTTTTGCTCAAGTGAGAATCATGCTCTAGGATGATCTTGCGGATCTACGTATTCAATCATCATTTCACGTACATTATAGACTGCTTCCACCTTTCATGTCGAACAAGCCAGAAGAGGTTCTCTTTTTGAACATCAGTCAGATGCTGCGCTAAATTGTCTACATTTGACCTTGTACATATCTTTGAATCCGTTACTACCCCGAGTGAGATCATACCGGACGCATAAATGCGCAAGTCCGGTACATATCTGCATGCATCGTATAGCTTCGGGGCACTGCACGCATCACAGAAATCAAAGTCTATCACTAGGAGAATCTCATACTTAAATCATAAATACTGTACTTATGTTATTATGCTACGTGAATCTTCTTCCCGTGCAGCAGTATCTACCCAGTGCAAATATTCGGCGAAGTTCAGTTTCCTATTTTGTGAAAAGGCATCCCGAACTTTC